GCTGGCACCTCTGTGCCCCAGGAGCAGGGCAGGCAGAGAGCACCTTCTGCCAGCAATCCTCCAGCCCACCTCAGCTGCCTGCACAGTCACTGTCTCCAGCCAATACTCAAAGAGTGGTGCATCCTCAATGCTCCTTCACGTGGCCATTTTCTAAATTAGCTACCCATTTTCCATCTGAGCAAATGAGCCCTCGGATCTGAGGGTGGTTGCAAAGCGTTTGCTTTTAGTGAGGTGGGCCAAAACCCAGCCTATAGTAGGAATTGCCAGCTGAGCAGAGAGTTAGTGAAAAGGTTAATCTTATTTCAGAAATAGAGGGAGGGAGATGCATTACAGTGCTTCATTGGAAAAATGTCAAAAGCCATTAGCTGCTGGCTGAAATATATGAGAGGGAGCAGCATTAACTCTGCTCTTCATTCTGTCTACAGGTGAAACGAGGCATTTCACCATTTGCCTTTGGGAATTAAGATGCAACATGTTTTTAAGCTCCGTTCCTCTGTCACTGGAATTGTTGGTAGAAATACAAAGTATTCTTTTTACTTTGCACGTATCTATTTTCTATTTTGGTGTCCTGTCATCTCCACACTTACATATGGTGTGCTGTGACTGCTATATATGTGTATATTTATATATATACACTCATACACAAACATATGCAAATATATGTAGTGCTCCAGACAGCTGTGTATTTTACATACACTGTTTTATTTCTCTATGTGCAATATTTGCATCTGGGGAGTAGCATGCCTGCAGTAGTACCACTTGTCTAAACCTGATTGATAGGAAGTATTTGTACATTCCAGTCTCCTGAACAGTTTCAACTACTGTTATTTTCATATTTTCACCTTTCAAACATAGATCCTTTCAAAAACGGAAAGATTTCCCATTTGGACCTGCACATACTTTTTCTAGAGGTAAATTTTGTTTGGTTTAAAAATCCCAGCTATCTTAAATTACTACTGGACTGAAAATAGTTTTCTTTCTCTAGACAAAAGAGGTACCATGTTTTTCAAAGTATACAGACAGGACATCTGGCTGGAAGAAGGATCTACATGCAGGATTTTTAAGAGATTTTTATGAGATTCATAAGCATGTTTTACTGTCATTATAAATTTAGTTACAAATTCCTTTCATCCTTGCCCTGATCATTTATCATTCAGATAGCAAGCTTCTTCACTTTCTAAGAGCTAAATAAACAGTACCAGCACACTGTTGGTTTGTTGTTTTTTTTTCTCATGTAGCACAAAATGTATGATGTGTCAGGGTGGTACCTAAATGGTCTTCTGCTTCTGCTTGGGTGACCTGCATATTGCAGAATGCTGGAAATTCACCTTAAGGCATCCTTTCTACTGCCCAAGCCTGTATTTTATCAGTGGCTGCTGTCTGTGAGTGAATGTCTGTATGTTTTCCCTGACACACTGTGCTACCTGAACTTTTCCTTTGGACACTGTCTTTCTGAACGTTCCTTTCTCCTGGCAGGAGGCAGCGTGGAGACATTAGTTTGTTGGTGAGACCAGCTGGTCTCTTCTTTCTCATGTCCTCACCTGTTAGCTGTAACTGTATAGCAGCCTGCGTCTTCCTTTCCTGTGTTCTCCCAACTTGAGCATGCAGATGAAAAGCAGTCTTTTTTCTTAGATTGGCTTGCCAAACTTGCTGCCATTTCCATAAAAAGATGAGTGGGCTTTCTGTAGTCATCCCCACTGGCTCGTCTTGCAATACAAATGTGATTTGGTTCGGGTATGGGCAGATGCTGACATCTCTGTCAAAGTAGAGAGATTGTGCGACGCAGAGCTTGTGTAGCCATTATGCCAGCTGTGGGAAGCAGACAACAACCAGCCCAGTGTATGAGCCAGCTGGCCCCAGCAGATAGTATGTGTGAATACAGCATTTTAAAACAGATTCTGGGGTCTCTTGTGCCGCTAAACTCTTGCCTAAAATGTCTGTGATTTATGAAACAAAGCCACCCGCTTTAGCTCAGCTAAGCCTTCTTAAGCAAGACTGATATTTTATAAACAGTAATTACTCGTGCATCTTAATAACGTGGCAGACATTGGAGCCTCTCCAGCAGCTTTCAGAATCTAAATATGACGAATAAACATCAGAAGAGATGAAACTAGAGAGCAGCAAGCCTGAGATGAAGGATGTACTCTGTACATGGTCAGGGTTGCAGGCTCCAATTCAGCACAACATTTTGGTGTATGGTCACCTGTAAGTATATAAAGCATTTTCCCTGCCAGACCACAGAGGACAGCTCACACATTTAAATCTTCTCAGGTGCTCCTGCTTCCCAGAATAAAGTGTGTAATAGTGGATAATCTGTATCTAGGGTGGTCCTTACTGAAGTATTCAAAGATAAACACTTTTATCTTTTAAATGGGATTTGACATTTAAAAGAGGACAAAATGATCTATAAAATACAAATGAAGAAGAGAATTTGTACCAGAGTTTGAAAGGTTACCATGGGAAAGTACTGTGTAAATGTGATAAAAAATTTCTACTTCTACAAAGAGCAAGAGAAACAGCTAATGAAATAATTATCGACAATTAGCAAGTCAGTAAAGGGAAAATGTGTTGCAGAAAACACTGCTGTTTATAATTATCCATTGCAATCATTAACAACCTCTTTAAAAGGTTTTCTTTTGTAAATCCCTCAAGAGAGCAACACTAAATAGTTCAGTTTTGGTAGCCCAATTATAGTCTGCCTTCCGTAGCATAGCTATGTAAAAATAAAGTAGTAACATTGGTATCTGCCTGCTGCTTTATTTTTTCAGTGAAAGTGAAGCTTTCTTCAATTTAAAAAACTTCTCTGTTTAACTTTATATATATAGTTGAATAATACGTTGCTCTTTGCATATATATATTTGAATAATACCTTGCTCTTGAAGTGTCTTGACTTTGTATGCCAGTCAGCAACCTCCGAAAGTGCTGTGCTTGGTTCTATATGACGGATAAACCTGCCTGTTGATACAGACCTCTCTGGCAATGCGTTTATTACTTTGTATTGTTTGTCTTGTTTCTGGAGGTTATTTCAGTGTCCATATCAGTGTGACAAGCTGAGCATTCATGGTAGCCTTGAGTGCAGGAACGGGAAATCCTGTGGCTGTGGTAGCTCTGGGCACTGCTTTCATGACTCTACACCACCTCATGCTGCTCCATGCATCCAAACAGGCTGATCAGAGCTGGCCTCAGCTGGTCTGTGGAGCTCTGCAATTAGTCACATCATCACTCCGTTCTCAGGCACGGTGTCCTTCATTATGGTGGGATCTTCATTTTTTCATTGACCTATGTGGTAATGAAGTGATTCATGCCATGTTTATGTTAATATATTTTATTCATGCCATGTTAATCTTGATGTATTTTAATACTGGATTTAGTGGATCATATTTTTCTTAGGTTTTTGTGAGACCAATAATGAATGTAATAGTCTTTGGAACAGAATTGCAGCACCCATGTAAGGCTTTCTCAGCTGTGAGGCTGACTTGATTAGAGGATGTTTCTGCTGTGTCTGTCAAAATTAGAGCTGCCTTCCTTGCTGAAAGGAGGTCGCTCGTTGGTTCCTGTGAGCAGAGATCTCAGCCTTCCACTTCATTCAGTGCTTTAGCAGCTCACAGCAGATCCGTGGATCTGAGTAGCAAGGCCATGGCAGGGAGATATAACATAACAGGAGGGCTGTTGCTTCAGCCTCTGAGTGTGAGGCCATTCCAACCTGCTACAAGCCTCTATACTTAAGTCTCAAATGGTCTGTAAATGACTGCCTATTTTATTTTTGCTGTGCTGTTTACATTTACTAATTATCAAAACCATACACGCTGTTTTGCTATAGTGACAATGTATGCATTTTTGTTGGCTTGAAAGCTAGTTTAAGCTCACAAGCAAGCAGGAGCCATGTCAGGGCCTTGCTAGTTGCTCTTTATCTGTTGAATGAAAGACCATCAGTAAGCAGACCCTCACCTTGCGGCCAGAGTATGTTACCCTCTGTACTGGATAGGGCTTGCTGATTCATCTTCAAAAGAGTTGGCTGACATGGTCTAAATTGAAATTTGAAAGAAAGCTGAAAATTAATCAGTGTGTACAGTCAGAAGGCTGCGCTTCAGACAGCCTGCCCCACAGTTATTTGCACACAGCCCTTTGCATGCAAGGTGGTTGCTTTCTCAACCTTCAGCCTGAAAGCTGTCAGCAACTTCTTATAGCTCACTTGTAGATACAGACATCTTTGAAAATTAGCATGGTAGTCTGACAACCTCCAAGTATCCCGAAAAGCTTCAAGTGGACAGCACTTCGTTACCAGTCATGTGGTTTTAAGGAAGGGCCTGGGTATTCCGGTGCACTACAGGTTGGCTATGAGCCAGCATGTGCCCTTGTGGCCAAGAAGGCCAGTGGTATCCAGCAATGAAATGAGCATGGCCAGCAGATCTAGGGAGGTGATCCACCTCCTCTACTCTCCCTGATGAGGCCACATTTAGAATACCGTGTCCAGATCTGGGCTCCCCGGTTCAAAAAAAGACAGGGTGCTCCTAGAAGGAGTGCAGCAGAGGGCCACAAGGATGAGCAAGGGCCCATATGAGGAAAGGCTGAGAAACCTGGCTCTGTTCAGCCTGGGGAAAAGAAGACTGAAGGGAGATCTGATTAATGTTTATAAAGATCTAAAGGCACATGGATGAGGCCAGGCTCTTGTCGGTGGTGTGTAGTTATAGGAAAAGGAGTAGCGGCTAAACAATTATTTTTAATTAGATAGGGATTGATCTGTATTAAGCAAGATGTTTTTATGTTTGAGAATTTCATAGGGATGTAGCTTTCAAAATTACATTCATGAAAAACTGATTTTAAGAAGAGCTGCAATGATTTAAAATATAAATGAATGAGAAAGCAAATTTCTTAACATGTGGTGCCAAGCTGTCTAGCAGCCGTGGTATGTTCTGTAAAGCCAGAGGCATATTTTTAGCCTGACTCTCTGTTATGCATATTGTCACAACAGTTTATGATACTGTTTTCTTTGTTCGTAGATGAAGTCTTGTCTGAAAACTTTCTGGACTACAAGAACCGTGGAGTCAATGGCTCTCATCGTGGTCAGATTGTCTGGAAGATTGATGCCAGTTCTTACTTCGTGGAGCGTAAGTATTGTTTCAATTTTACCATAGCACAATTCAGCCTTTGCAGAAAGATAATTGAATTCCTTGTCGAGTTGTTCTTGTGATTGTGTTATGCCCAATATATCCTGTAGGAAAGGCCAAAAATGTTACCATAACTTTGAACGCATTAAGAGGAACTGAAATGCCCTATGAATTAGAAAAACGTGGCTTCTGCAAGAAAATAAATCTTGTGGGTATTGTCTTGCTTGCATATTTTAACTTTTTAAATACAGCTGTTGAAAAATATTTAATCATTTTGCTGTTATTTGAACATTGCCATTAGCAGTGAGTGGCATTTACTTTAATACAGTGTTAAGAAAAAGAGCTCCGGGACATAATCTCATTTCTGGAAGATTCACACTGTCTTTGAGCTGGAAAACCTCATTTTGGGTCCACCATATTTGAATAGATGCAGAAATCAAAAAAGGGTTCAGTTTGGTTATTGTCTAGCTTGCTGTCACTGCGTGTTGTTACACTTGTATCAAAGCAATGCGATAGCAAATTAATTGTTCCTCATTGTATTCGTGTATTGTGCAGGGCGTCTGATGCAATGCAGTGTAACACTTTCCCACCCTTCTCTTAATAGTCAAATGCATAGACACTGAACTCTCTTGTACAAAAAACTATGTACTCCCTTCAGAAAATTAACATTTCCAGACTTTGCCATCCCACATTCCTGATCAAAGTGAGCCTGATCATTGGAGTCCTTTTAAAGACTTACTGTGCGCTAGTATGAATGGAAGTTATGGTCTCTAATTTCCTCCAAAAAACGTATGCATTTCTTTGGTGAGCAGAAATAGGGTACGCAAAAGACTGAACTGAGATTTATAGAAAATATCCATGGGAAAGGGCTGCAGGTATCCTTAAGGAGTCAAATGTGAAGGAGCCTAGCATTCAGCAGTTACACTTTTTCAGTTGTACTGAATGTTTTCAATGATCCACCTTAGCCTGAGCAAAATTCAGAGTTGTGTGTAAGCGTATAAGAATTGCATGGTAGTCAGATGTATCTGCTTAAGACTGACTGAGCTTGAGGGCAATCAAGGGAATCTTTGATAAAACCTGAATTCTGAAAGAGTTAGAAAGGATATGAATTATACTTGATCAGATTCATCTCTGATTTTGACCTCAAGCATCAAGAAGGATGCAACATGCACACATTTTACAGAAATTCAATTTTAGAAACATCTTCTCTCTTCTCAGTATGAACTATTGCTAATGATCTGTAATTCACACTTTTAAGTTGAGAATATTCTTAAAGATTGAAGGGAGCTATTGAAAGAGTATCTGTGGATACAAGGGGTGTTATGATTGTTCATATCCTGTATTTTAAAAAATACATTGCTGGGAAATTGTTTAATATACAAGAACTTTGTTTTTACTTGCCCTACTCTTAGAGCAGAAATACTTGATAGGATCTAACCTTCAAAATAAGATTAATTTGCAACTGCTCCTTTGATCTTCAGTTATCAATCCATGAAACTGATTGTGCTTACTTTTCACTGTGAAAGAAGTGCGGGGAGAAGATGTAGTATTGTAGAACAGGGTTTTGAAGGGGCCTTAGTGTCTCAGTTTATGGATAAAAGCAGAGGAGAAAAGAGTCAATGTGAGAACTCCTTAAAAGAAAGTCTCTTCAGGTGGGCCATGTTTCATTAAGGGCACAAGTGCACAATTAATTATGGCCGCATAATTAGTTGTCTCTGTTAACTGAGACATAGTAACTGCTGTTAATTGATTTTGTGTATATTCTTTAATTGCCCTAATATGAGAATACACAGCTTAGCATAGCCATCCCTCTCTGACACTTAAGACTAATTCATACTACGCCGTATTTGGGCTGCTCATGCTTGATGAGTTGCTGCTGCTTGTTAATTTGTTATGCTGCCAACATTAGCCTATGAATCTCTGCCCTGAGATTATGTCCCATCAAAGACGAATTATTGCCCTGTCCAGATTTAAAATAGAAGACAGTGAAGTAGGAAGTAGTAAATAACAGCACATGTAAATACACTCAGTGCTGCTTTACCATTGAAATAAGAAGTAAACACAGTGAAAGAAGTTGATGCATATGAAACATATTTATATAAAAGCATGTTTGAGAGCTCCTGCTCATTGCTGAGAATTATGTAGGAAATTACACAACTTCGTAGTTGATTAAACGTTATGTTGAAAACTGCAGTGGCTGATGGTTTTCTTTGTTTTCTATCCAGAGACAACTGTGTAGGCCACCTTCTTTCAGACTCTTTTTTTTCTTTTGCATCTTTTATGTTTGTGCAGCACAGGAATGTTATGACATTTTCAGGAATCAGAAAGATACTGATCGTCAAAATCAATCTCATCTCAGAAACCTGCCTCCTTTTTCAGAAACTACCTTGGGGACAGGACATTTGTTCAGCAGTAAAGCAGTGTAAGAATTGTCATGTTGGTCAACAGTTAACCTGATGTGGTATCTTGTCACCAAAAATAGCCAGTGATGGAGATTTGGAAAAGCATATAGAGAAGAGATAAGTGTTAATAACTCCCCCAGCTGGAGTGCTGAGAGTTTCTGTTAATATGTTGCTGAAGCACTTTCTTCCTTACGCGGTTTTTTTATTTCCTAGAGGTCAAGGGATATAACAGGTAGCTAAGAGCCAGCAATTCATTTCAAGGTGTCCGCATTGTTTTTCTATGCATAATGTTATGTTTCCTTTAACTCTATATTGATCGGAATCTTGCTTAGCATTCATTCTCCATAGAACAGAGCAGCTTTCACTTGCAAAGGTAACCCTTCATTTCTGTGTTTACTTTTGCCAGTAAATACCTGTACTTTGCTATCTGTTGTGAGCCAACACTGGCAGTTTATCAACTACACAGTGCTTTAGAAAAGGTTATGGTATACAGTGCAGTGTTTGGCCCATTGTAGCAGGGAAGTGCCATGATAAAGGGGAAATCGTAACGTGGCCAAATGAAGAATGAATTCTACACAAGTTTAAATTCTAAGTTCCCAAAACCTTAAGACAGACAGCTTGGTAGCTGCTGTTGGAATGTATAAAGATTTCACATTTTTTAGAATGTCACTGTCCTATTGAGGGATTACAGGAATCATTCTGTCTGCCCTCAGAAGTCAAAGTTTTCCTTTTGCCAGCAGCTAGTCTTTAGTACACCCCAGTGGGTGTCTTTCAACATTTGAGAAAATTACTGTTATGCAGTTTCCAGCCCCTTGAAGTGAAGAGCTTAATGGACATTCACAACAGAAATCTTCCTTCTATCAGATGCAGCTATAATGACAGGCAAAAACCATTGACCTGGAGGACTCACTGTGGGAGAGGAGACTAGCCATACTGTGGGAGACACGTAGAAGCACAGCAGGAGTGAAGGACACAGAGAAACATGTGGCAAGAGATTGAAACTGTTTTTTGTGTAAACTGCACTGCTTGTACCTTTATAAAACTGAAATTCTGCGATTTTGGATGTTGAGCTCATAGTGGGTTGTGTCAGCTGTTACACTAATGCTTGCTTATTCAGGTATATTTACAATCTTGGTTAAGCAAATGCTTTTTGTTAGGTGGGTCTGTGACAGTGCCTAATAGATGTCTCATTTTGGTACACATCTCTGTGTTTTGGGGGTACTTGGTTAATAGATTTTTTTTTTCAAGTTTACTGATAGCCTGGTTTAAGACCACCTAGGGAACTCTTACTTTTCAAAACAAAAGTAATTTCTTGATGTATGCCTATGTATCATTTTCAGATACCATGGCATTTTTTAAAAAAATTTTGTTTGTAGTGGTCTGGTTTTTTACCTTGGGAAGTGCTTAGTGTCATTCCCAGAGATGCACATGCCTTTCCAGTTTGCACATCACAAACTCACAATATAGAGACAGATATGTGACTGTGCAAGCCAGAGAGAGAACTGCTTCCAAATTACAGTGTGAATGCAGGCAGAGCAGAACTCATCTCCTATTAATATTCAACAAATAAAAAACCTTAACAACTGCAGAGGCAACAACATGCTATGTCCAGTTTTGAATTTCTGTGGAAGCTTAGCAATTCAGGCTTTATGACAGCCAGTGATAAACAGCAACCATCCATGGTAAACACAAATTGTTTGGGGTTTGGGGAGAATAAAGGGGAGGGAAGAATAGCTACGTGCCATAGGCATGTGTACTTTGTGTCGAGACTTGGAGGGCACTGCAGTGAAAGAATGAGCTTGTCATGGGTTTACCAGAAAAGTAAGCATGCTCTACTTCGTTGGAATTTGTGGCACAACTTTTTGGCCTATACAACAGTACAAAGAGAGAAACCATTTCACTAAGGGGCAGAGCAGCCTTTTCCCGTAAGCACAGTGTCAAACTGTTGTATCTCTAAAATTATGATAGAAGTTTGGACACAATTCAGAATTACATCAAAGATAGTCAAATACCTGGGACCTCTGTTAACCCATGAGACTTTCAGCATGTCATTTTGTCAACCAACAAAACAGTTTCCAAATGTGGAAGCTTATGCAGCCCTTGATTTACTACATTTATTACTGTTGTAGCTGCATTTTTATCAAAAACAGATGATAGGCCTTTCAAAGACCAGTTATAGTTGTTTATTCCTATTGGTCTTGGGAATTAAAAGGGATTTCGTGGTAAAAAGGGCATTCAACTAAATAAGATAGAATTCTGAGAGTTTCTGGTATACCTACAGACAAATGGTAGCCAAGGGCAAATAATGACTGGCTTATGGTCAATATATGCTTTGTATGTGTGCATTTATGGAATATGAACATAAAGAGGAGACAAAACTGGTATGTAATCAGCCCTTTTATCTGAGGCTCCTTCCAGAAAATCTATATGAGGCAGCTGATTTAAAGGCCGCTTTCAAAGTACAAATAACTGAAGGATGTAGCAGCCTCAGAGGTTTCCAAATAAATGATACGCAGTCGTATCAACAAATGCTGTAATGAAGCTGAAGTCTTTTTAAAGTTTTTGTATTTCAAGGCACGTACATTTCACTGGTGAAAG